TCTGACCTCTTGGCTTTCTCTTTTACATTGGTTCTGTGTTTCTTATTTAATAAGATGGTTGGATACATCTACATCTGGTGCCCAACGTTTGTGGTAGAAATTCATGAAAAAGCTGTTTGCCTGTGGCCTTGCGGGTCCCAGTCTCAGACCTGAGCTACACTTGGCCAGTTGTGGTGGCACATTGCTTGGATTTATTGAAGGAGGCAGAGGCAGGAGGATCCTGAGTTTGAGGCCAACCTAGGAGAACCTTCGGCCAGGGCTGAACCACAAACAGTGGTGGGATTATGGAGGCAGAGGCTGCTGCTCTAAGTTGCTGGCTTCTTCTCACGGTGTTGGTGACTGCAGTGATATTGCTACCTGGGAAGAAAGGTTTACTGATGCTTGTTAAAAGAAGAATTGACAGGACCATCGTGTTACAAGCAAGCATCGACAAAGGTCAGTTTGGAGAAGTTTGGCCAGACAAATGGTGGGGAGAAATTGATGTGAAGATTTTCTCTTCTAGGGAAGAATGTTCATGGTTCTGAGAGACAGACATTTATCAGACTGTGATTACTCCAAACCACAGAGAAGGCACACACACAAAAAAAATCTGCAAGTCTGCAGTGAAACATGACCACACCTAACAGTGACTTTGAAATCTTCAAAAAGACGACAGGACTCCACAATGATGATTCCACAAGGATTATGGTAAAGCCATTAAGCTGATTAATACCACCAAATGATCAACTTTGGACTACAAACTGCTTAGGACAATTTTGAGATGGCTATCTGAGATGATCCAGCCTGACAGACTACTTGAAGAAGGACTTGAAACAAGCCCTACACTTTCTCATTATGCAGCAGCTGGACAAATGATATAGGACTTGACAATTAACCCAAAAATTTTCTTTTCAGGATCCCCTAAAGATGGAAGTAATTTTAAGAAAATGATGCCCACATTCCCCAAAGGTGGGATGGGAAGTTTTTGGTCATTTAATGAGTTATGGATATTGTCATTGTTTATGATGGTTGGTTACAAGTTGTTAATTGTTAATGGTCAGAAAAAAAGCTGAACATGGAGATTAGATTCAGAGGTTTTGTTTAAAAAAGAAAGAAAAAAGAGAAAAGAATATAGATATGAGATAGATCACTAAATCAATTCTGAGAAAAAAGATAAAGAATAATAGGATAAATGGGTAGATGACTGAATCTACACAAAAGAAAAAGAGGGAGATATAAAAAATGACAGAAGGTAGATTACTGAATCTATTATGAAAAGAAAAAATATTTTTAAAAAGTAATTACTTGTTTTAAATAAGATAAGTAATGAAATTTTTTTGTCTGAATTTGTCAAATGTTACTGGACTGGACATTGTTAATATATATAATGAAATATTTTGTCTGAATCTGTCAAATGTTAATGGACTAGACATCTTGACTGTGTATATTGTATATACTTATTGGACATAATTTTTCTTGTATTAGTTATAAGCTTTTTTAAATTTTAGACAAAAAAAGGGGAAATGTGGTGGTATTGTGTTCCCCAAAATATTGTGTACCCTAATAAACTTATCTGGGGTCAGAGACAGAACAGCCACTAGATACAAAGACTAGAAAATGGTGACACTCACACCTTTAATCCTAGCACTCCAGAGGTAGAAATCCCTCTGGATCTCTGTGAGTTCAAGGCCACATTGAAAATAGCCAGGCATGGTGACACACACCTTTAATCCCAGAAAGTGAGCCTTTAATCCCAGAGAGTGGTGGTAGAAAGCAGAAAGTTATATAAGGCATAAGGGCCAGAAACTAGAAGCATTTGGCTGGTTAAAGCATTTGGCTGATTAGGCTTTTAGGTTTTGAGCAGCACAGTTCAGCTGAGACCCATTTTGGATGAGGACTCAGATGCCTCCAGTCAGAGGAAACAAGACCAGCTGAGGAACTGGTGAGATAAGATAGCTGTGACTTGTTCTGGTTCTCTGACCTTCCAGCATTCACCCCAATAACTGGCTCAGGTTTGATTTTATTAATAAGAACTTTTTTAAGATTCCTGCTACACTCTAGGACAGAGGTTATGTCAGAGGCAATCACCCCTCAGGACTACACTCCCTCATCTCACTGGGAGTCAGTTGAAACTAAGCTTTTCTCAAAGAGATACTTTCTCTGACAGAAAAGAAAGCTTTACTCCTGGAAAGTTCTTCGTTTAGCCCTGGCTGGGCTCTTTCCCCAGACAGTGTTCTGGCTCAGCAGCACAACTGCTTCAGATGCTGAACTGCTTTACTGTTTTCCCAGAAATGTCCTTACCCTGATAGGAAAGCTTTTTCTCAGATTTCTTTTTGCACCTGTCAACCTATCAACCTGGGACTTGTAGGAAAGCCGGCAACTATGCTGTTAACATGGGCTTTAGCTTTGTTTGTTCATTAGCAATCTTCCCCAGGGTCCTGCACCTTCCTGCCTCAGCTCTGTGCTCCAGGAAGTTTACAACTGCAGGAACCCTAGTATCCCGGAAATGTACTCTAACTCAGAGACACTGGCCAGTCGCCTCTGGCTTTTTGGTCAAAATCAAGGATACAATGCTAACAGAGTTTGCATTGCTTCAGGAGATCTTTGCTTTAGGGCAATTAGGAGCACCTTTTCATTGATGCTCACTCAAACAAAAACCCTTGATGCCTCAGCTCAGCTGCAACTGAAAAGCTTGGCTTTTTTGCTTTTCCCAGTAAACAGTTTCCTGGCCTTTTTGTGGCTCTTCATCCTTACTCTCCCAAGCGTTTCCCTCAGAGGACTTCGACCCACTGTCTTTTAGTAGCTTGAAGAGATAGAGCTTAGAAGAGAGGTTTTTAGGAACTCCATCCCTGCCTCCTGTATTGCAGGGAGGATTTTTAAAGCTTGAAAGACAGAACTTAGAAAGGTCTTGCTGTCTTAAGAGGTTTGTTGTTTTCCCTTAGAGCTAATCACAGGTGATTCCCATTCTAATTTTTGTCCTTATGAGAAAGTTAAAGGTGTTAGATTTTAAGTTTTTTAAGAGAGCTTTTGAGAAAGATTAAGGCTTTTTAGAGAGATTCTCCCCCCACCAAGTTTTCCAAGAAAAGCTTTATAGTTTAAGAGAAAGATTTTTTTTTCCAAGAGAGAGAAAGACCAACTTTCCCCAAAACTTCTGAACTTCAAACTTTTTGGCTTCTTACACGCTCCCCCCCCCCCACCATTTTTGCCTCAGAGAGAAATCACTTTCTCCTGCCACTTGGACTTAGTATTATTAGCTATCCTCAGGCCAAAAGCTTCCATAGAAAACTTTTTTCTTCCTGATAAGCTCAAAGAAGAGCTTTTTTACTACCCATAAAGCTCAAAGATAGATTTTCCCCCAATTTATGTTCATAGCCCACAAAGAAAATTGAGTTTTTCTGTCTTGTTGCTTTAAGTTATCTTAATTTTTTTTCTACACGATCTTACATTTCTAAGTTTTTACTACACTATATTACTACACTATACCTTATACTTATTTTTCAGATAGAAATTGAGAAAGGGATAGAAGATAAAACATTTTTTTTTTTTTTTTGGTTTTTCGAGACAGGGTTTCTCTGTGTCGCTTTGCGCCTTTCCTGGAACTCACTTGGTAGCCCAGGCTGGCCTCGAACTCACAAAGATCCGCCTGGCTCTGCCTCCCGAGTGCTGGGATTAAAGGCGTGTGCCACCACTGCCCGGCAAGATAAAACATTTTGACAGAAGAGAATTTTGCGCTGCAGCATCGGACATCCTTCCAGTCCATTTTTCCTTTTCTCTCGAGGTTAAAACCCCTGCCCCTTAATAATATATGTGTAATATATATTATATATATTCCATAACACTGGGCATGCCCCTTTTTCTACTGGCATGGCTGACTCAGCACTTTTGTCAAAAGCTCTATAATAAAACTTTTATTTTCCTTTATCTTTAGTCCCTATTACTTTGTCTTTAGTCCTTGTTCATTTGTCTTTAGTTCCCTCCCCCTTTTCTTCTTCTTTTTTTTAAGTCCCTGTTCATGGCGCCATTCTGTTGGGTGTTTACCCACCAACCCCACAGTTCTCCAGAGTTTTCTTGAGTGCAGCAGCAGGAAATATTAGATAGAGGGATTAAGTTGTGAAGATAAACAGATAGAAAATAAAGGATAGCCTTGAGAGGGCCTGGAACCCATTCCAAAGAACCCTGACTGTCTCTGCTCCAGGGTATTTATAGAGACGCCAAAGGGTGGAGCAAAAGACCTCCCAGCAGCACGCTAAGTGCAGACTATCTCAGACACCTTCACTCAGGCCTGTGGTCCCAATCATTCTCTATGCAGACCTGTTGGGTAAAGCCAAGGAACTTGAAAACAGGCTCCCACAGGTAGCCTAATTACCTACAAGTGTATCTATACTTAGTTGCTGTTCAATATACAGTTGTCAAATAAACCAGTGTTAAGGCTACATTAGGTGTCAAGAACTGTTTTTGGTGTTTTGTTTTGTTTTGTTTTTGATTTTTCAAGACAGGGTTTCTCTGTGTACCTTTAGTGCCTGTTTTGGATCTTGCGCTGTAGACCAGGCTGGCCTAGAACTCACAGAGATCCGCCTGGCTCTGCCTCCGGAGTGCTGGGATTAAAGGAGTGTGCCACCTGGCCAAGAACTGTTCTTGACACTGGGATATGACAAAAACCAAATAAAGTAAAACAACAACAACAACAAAACTCTTCCTGCTCCCTCGTGGGGGCTCATATGTTTAATTAAGCCTGTTTTCCAGTCTAGGCTCCACCTTTTTTGTCTCCTTTGATATTTGGGGCAAGTAACACGTAAAAGCTTTGCACTCCTATCAGTCTTACAAGAATTAAAGAGGAAAAAAAGCGCGCCAGTATTTGTACAGAATTTAGCATAAATGCTTTATTTTTTTTTTTTTTCCTTTTCTTCCAAGACAGAGAATTGGGGGTGTGAAATCTGTTTCACACGTCTAGGCCAGGTCTAACTTTAACTGAAGATACTGACAGGGTGCTTTACTAGGTAGGAATGAGAGCCAGGGAATACCTCGTCTTCGTAATCTTCCCTCAGAAAAGCTTCATCTGGTTTCCTGGAGGTGAAGAGGAGAGCAGGAGCATTCGGTTTCACTAAAACTACAAATCCCAGCACTCCCCGCGGCAGACAGCTACGGGTCCCAGCAGGTTTCGTCAACAGGACCCCCGGGTTCTCTTAGAGACCCGGAGTTCCGCCTGAGAGGGCGCGGGGCGTGTCGCGGCCCGGAAAGAAGCGAGTTAGGCTTCGACGTCGCTGCGCAGACGCCACTCACGGGTCGGACGTGACGTCAGGAGGGTTCCGGCTTCGGCCTCCGCCGCTGCCTCCCGCACTACAGCTGCTGCCGCAGCAGTCGTCGCGTCTGGTTCTTCCTAAAATGGCGCCGCTAGATCTGGACAAGTATGTGGAGATAGCGCGGCAGTGCAAGTACCTTCCCGAGAACGACCTGAAGGTGAGCCGGGCCGGAGGCCGTCCTGTTTGCGAGGCAAGCCCCTTCCGGCTGTGGGGCGCCCGCCAGCCTGCCCTCCTCCCTCGGCCGGACCCCTACCGGGCATCCGGTCCTGGCGCGGCCGAGGGGCTCCGCGGTGTAAGGCGACCGGGTCCGACGCGGCGAGACGCCGAGAACCAGGGCAGCCCGAGTTCCCCGAACCCTGGAGCGGATCCCTGAGGGGAGATCCCGGGGATGTGCGACCCCCTGGCTCCCTGAGGACTCCGAGCCCTAGCGGCTTTGCTTAAAGACTCACTCTTACACGCTGGGTTTCCCGGAGACGGAGCCCGGCCGAGCCCCAGCGGGCAGTGCTCTCGGGATGGGGTCCTCCCAGCAGAGGTGACAGGAGCTGCTGTCTGCTCCAGGGACGCGGATGGCCGCAGTGTGTTATAAGTCCCTGAGAGGTGGGAAGCCGGTGGGCGGGATCGGTGTGACAGTACTAGGAGTGTGTCAAGTCGCCTCTGCTTCGCCACTCCCCTAAATTGCTTCTTAGGAGTGTTAGTGTTCTTCTGATGATTCGGATGTGGATCCCATCTCTTAGTACGTTGTTGAGCTATTTAAGTGAACAAGCGATCGCTTATCAAGAAGTTCAGATGCTTTTATGATCTCTGAGCTATTCCTGTATAACCCAAAGTGTCGTTTTCTTGGTTTTCCAAGAGGTCTCAGTTCAAGTTACGAGTGTTAAAGGAATGACTGTAAAGGAAGCATGCCGTTGGTGTACCACTGTTTTTAAACGTATTTTGCTTCTACTAAAGCTAGTGCTTAGGTCCCCGTTGGTGTTTATCCAATGATTGCTAATGAAGTTTTATTCCATTAACTTTGATTTGCTGTGTAGTAAGTGCATAAACCCTCCATCATTTGAATTCTTTATGCTGTTTTTATAATTTTAAGTCAGGGGCTTAAAACAATTTATTTTTTTCAAGAAAAAATTATCTTTTGTTAATGAATTATATTTCTCCTAGGCAAGGTTTTGCTCAGTGTGTGTTTTCCTGTCTCATTTGGTACATGAAGTTGATCAGTCAACAAGTATGCAAAAATGTTTAAGACCACATGTGCTGTTTGTAAGAAAGTACCTAACTTGTACTTACATATTGATGTTATGTGTTACATGGTTGGTGTTCATGTTCAGCCACCTGCATCTTTCAGTCATTTGTCTTTTCTTTCTGAGATAGGATTTTAAGATAGAGATATCTCAGTGGTTAAGAGCACCGCTGGCTGCTCTTTAGAGGACCTGGAAATTCTATTCCCAGCAAGGACATGGTGGTTTGTAATCTTCAGTCACTCCAAGTAATTTCAAGGGATGTGATGCCCTCTTCTGGCTTCTACAGGCACCAGGCACACACCTGTTTCATAGACATACATGCAGGCAAAAGTCATACACATAAAATAAAAATAAATCTTAAAAACAAAAGCTCATGGTGGCCTCCAACCCACTATGTACCTGAGGATGACCTTGAGTTCCTGATCTTGCTTCCCTTCCTAAATGCTGCAACCTAAACTACCATGGCTGGCTGCTCTGTTCTTTTTCTTTCCTTTTTTTTTTTTTTTTTTAATAAATAAGATTTATTTTTAATTAGTGTTTGTGAAAGGGGGGAAGAGTATGTGCACATGCTGTCTTTGGAGGTCAGAGGCATCAGGTCACCCTAGAGCTGGAGTTACAGGCAATTGTAAGCCACCAGATATAAGTGAGGGAAACTGAACTCTGGTCCTCTGTACAATCTTAAGTGCTGAGCCATCTCTAAAGTTCTTAGTGCTTTGCAAACACACACACACACACACACACACACACACACACACACACACGATATCATATAGCCCAAGCTTGCCTTGAACTCCTGCTTCTACCTTAATAGTGGTTTACTTTATTTTATTGTGGTGTGAGGGTTTAAAAGATTTGTTATTCTTATTTATGTATTTGTATGTGTACCTGTGTGAATTTGTGTGCACCATATGTGTGCTGGTGCTAGAAATCATACCTGAGTCTTCTGCAAGAGAAGTAAGCTCTTTTAATGGCTGAGCCATTTCTCCTATTGTGTGATTTATTTATTTATTTATTTGTTTTGTTTATCAAGACATGGTTTCTCTGTGTAGCCCTAACTGGCCTGGAACACATTATCAACCAGACTGGCCTTGAACTCAAGAGTTTCACCATGTGTCTCTAGGGGTATATGCAGACACCCTCAGAGGCCAGAGGCATTAGATCTCTGTGGAGCTGCAGTTACAGGCAGCTGTAAGCATCCTGACATGGGTCCTGGGAATAGAACACGGGTCCTCTACAAAAGTAGTATGTGCTCTTAACCACTTCATCATTTCTCCAGCCCCACATGTATCTGTTTCTCACTAGACTTCCACACACTTCCCCTAAGTTTTTTCTTAACTACCAGGAGGAAAATTTTCTAAATTTTCTGTATATCCGTAGAATTCACCACCACCACCCTTTCCTGGAAACAGTTTTATCATATTGATTTGCTTGTGCTTCCAGTCTCTGGTATATTTTTTGTTTGCTTGGTTGCTTATTTGTTGAGGTTTTACCCTGTAGTCCAGTCTTGACTGGAACTCAACTATGTAGCCCAGCCTAACCCTGAGCTAGCTGCAGTTGCAATCTTCCTGCCTCACTCGCCTGAGTGTTGGAATTAGTGTTTATGAAATTCAGTTTTAGTCATTCTTGGTGGCAGATGTGTTTAATCCCAGCATTCAAAAGGAAGAGGCAAGTGGATCTCTTTGAGTTTCAGGCCAGCCTAGTCTATATAGTGAGTTCCAGCCCAATCAGGGCTGCACAGTGAAATTCTATCATAGATAGATAGATAGATAGATAGATAGATAGATAGATAGATAGATAGATAGATAGATAGATAGATAGATAGATAGATAGATAGATAGATAGATAAAGAAAAGAAACTCAATTTTGTGTTCCTTGGCATAAAGTACAAACTAAAAATAGGTAAGCCAAGGAAATAGTCTAGGGGAGTTTATGTTATGTGTATGAATGTTTTGTCTGATGTATGTATCTGTATCATGTGCATACCTGGTGTCTGAGGGAGTTAGAAGAGGGCTTCTAGTTAGAATTAGAGTTTCTGGGTGGTTGCAAGCCAACATGTGGGTGCTGGGAATTGAATGTAGGTCCTCTGCAAAATCAACAAGTGCTCTTAATCACTCCAGCCTTGATTTCTTAAAGAAAAAAAATTGTGTAATTTTTATTTATTTTTATGTATGTAGATATTTTACTTGCATCTATGTCTGAGTACCATATGCATGCAGAGCATGAGAGGGTTCTCTTGGGACTGGAGTTACAGATGGTTGTGAGCTACTATGTGGGTGTTGAGAATTGAAACCAGATCCTCTGGAAGAGCAGCCAGTATTCTTAACTGCTGAGCCATCTCTCCAGCCCCTAGCAGTGTCTTTTTTGAGGTCTTAATACCAAAATAAAAGATTCTGTCAGAGGAAAAAGAGAAATAATTGGAGACACTTAATATTACTGGAAAGATCCTTGTGCTTGCTAGGCAAAACCTTTATCACTAAGCTATAACATGAGTCCTGTAAATTCTTACCTTTTTTACCCTTAATTTTGGGGAGAAGCTTAATTCTGGAAAGATGACTGGGAGGTTAACAACACCTAGGTTCAAAACCAGCACCCACATGGCAACTCACAACCATCTGTAACTCCCCAGAAGATCCAGTGACCACTTCTGGCCTCCTTGGGCCCATGGCGCACAGATATACATTCAGGCAAAATACTCAAACACATAAAATAAAAATGAATAAAATCTCAAAAAAATATTTGGGCAAGGAAAGGGGCTCTTCAGTTGGTAGACTATTTGCTTAGAATAAATGGAGCACTTGACTTGATCCCCATCAATGAATAAAACCAGAATTGAAGGCAGAGGCAGAAGGTTTAGAACTTCAAGGCCATCCTTACCTATGTAACAAATTTGAGGGTAGCCTATGTGTGCTACTTGAGACCCTGTCTCAAAAAAAATAAAAAGTGAGGAAAGGTTCTATAGCTATAATATTGAGATTATCTCCTCCCTCCTTTCCTCCCTCTTCTCTCCCCCCCCTTTTTTTCTTCCTTCCCTCTCTCCCTCTCTTCTTCTCTTCCTCTCTTCCTCTCTTTCTCTTTCTCTCTCTCTCTGGTTTTTTGAGACAGGGTCTCCCTATTTGGCCCTAGCTGGCCTTGAACTCACAGCAGTTACTGCATCAGCCTTCCTAGTTCTGGGATTACATGTGTGCATCACCTTGTGTGGCCACTATGCCAGGCCACATTATGCTTTTTTGTGTAATGCTAGAAGAATATTTTCTAAACCCTTTTTTTATAATGTCTAGTGTCTTGTTTGTCTTTTTGGCTTCAGAGTCATAATCTCCTGTGTCATCCTAAAATATTCTGTAGTAATTCTGCCTAATATATACATAATGCCTTCAATTTTATAGTAGCTACATTTTTAAACATATTTAAAAAAAAAAGAGATAGGAGAGATAGATGCCATTAAGGGTGTGTACTGTTCATGTAGAGGACCTGAGCTTGGTTTACAGCACCTAGGCTGTACTGCTCGCAACCACCTGTAATTCCAGCTACAGGGGATCCAACACTCACTTTGCCTTTCTCAGGAATCTTCGCTTATGTGTGCATACCACTTCTCAACATACACACACGATTAAAAGTAAAATA